CACCCCCATCCTCAAGATTATAAAACTCTTCCTTTCCCGATAAGCAAAAAAGTTTAGGCCAGAACTGCAATGATTCAAATACAGGAATCTTGTTCGATCGTTAAAAACGACCATAACTCTACCCAGAAGCACATCTGACAAGATGGAATTTGTTCTCACAGAGGATTTTTCCCTCCACAGTATATATCATTTGTCAAGAACAGTGTCATTTCTCCCACTGCTGCATAATCACATAATGAAAACCCCAGATGTAATTCACGTACACAGGAGGAAAGACTTATGGTTCTTAAGAGACCCTTTCTTTATTCTCATTGCTAATAGTTTGTTAAAGAATGGGCAAAATGCTATAAGTAGATGAATAAAAAACAGAAATGAAATGTCCTGTTTTTAATAAAAATGTGGGATGATCAACTAGTACTCCTGGACTTTATCCAGCAAGTCTTGAAAACACACAGCACGAAGCTAAGGTACAGTACTCAGTGTGGAACGCTATTCAATTATTTCCCTTCTAACACCAAGCTTGCGTCCCTCTTCCAAAATATCCCCCCTTCCAGCCACGCTAACCACTACTATTCTCCATTCACACAGTACATACGTTAAGGTTTCCATGCAGTTCTTCCAGCCTGGGATGCCTTTTCCTTTCTACTACCCTGGCAATATCAAACCTATCCTTTGAACCAACCTGTACAATAGTACTTAGCTCACAGTAATGGTTCAGTATCTGCCTCCCCTAAAAGACTATAAACTAAACGTGGAACTTCTGCAGTCTCCACACAGAGCATGGGATCTGCCACATAATAGATGTTCAATTATTATTTGAGTTAAAAGAATAAAAAAAGTCTTCTAAACCACTTTTTCTCAAGTCTTAACTCTACTGGCTGCTGCCTACCGCTCCCCAAATTTCAGTATGGTCAGAAGGGAACCAAGTGCCTCTCAGTGCTAAATACTCTGGTGAGGGGCAGTAAAGCCCCATCCACACCAGTGGATTCTAGGCGGTGGCTGTAATTCAAAGGCGTACGACCTAAGGAAGGCCAGTATCCTCTCTCAACTTCTTACTCCCACCATCTTCCCTGAAATTCACAAGACTTCATTCATGCCTTAGGACCACAGTATATTTCTTCTCCAGGACCAGTTTTCACTAGTCGATGCTCAATGGCAAATTTAATAGTGTTTTCCTGTTCCAATCTCTTACCCCTTGGCTATACTGCACCTATGAGAATCAATCTATAAAGCCTTAATAGCAGAAATAAAGCTTTATGCTGACCATTTTCCCTAGACCACAACAATAGCTCCCCTCAAACTACCTAAATATGCACTATACATACGGGGAAATGATCAAAACCAAGATCTACCAGACCCCAGAGTTCAGGGAAATACAATAACTCATGCAGGTTCCAAACACTGAGCTAATTCTACCTGCTGGGTTGGGTCTTTTAGACTCCACTAAAACCTAAATCTTGGCAACGTTTGCCTTTTTTCGTGCCAGTATTCTAAACTGGGTCGTCTCTTCTTGGACTCTATCTCTCACCTGTCCTGTCTGCCCACCTCTGTAGTCAGCTTTGATGAGACTTGGCCACTGTGGCTAAGGTGAGCCTGGGCAATGGGGCTTTGTTCTTCAGCAAAATAGAATTATCTTCCAATTCTGCTGGAAGGAACCTAGACACTAATGATTTCGTTCTGTTAAAAATGCAAACCTGGACATTAATTATTTCATACTGTTGAAAGTGCAGAGAGCGTCTGAGATGAAAGTGTAACTACATTAGCAAATGTCATGTTACATCTGTAGACAACTGACCCTTCAAAACAAAGCTTGGTTTAAGGGATCCCCCCCACCACACGCACACAATGGATAATCAGCACACACTTTTGACTCAACAGTGGGTGGTTCCATCTGCCGATTCAACCAATGGCAGATCAAAAACAGTTATTTTCCATCCGTGATTGGGAATCTGTGGTTGCAAATGCAAAAATACTGTTTTCCATCAGGGTTTGTTGAATCCCCGCATGTGAAACCTGAGGACAGGAAGCTCTATCTGTATTTCCTGGGGTGCGGGGGTGAGGGGGGATGTGCAGATGAGGGAACCCACACAGTTCAAACCCTGTTTTCTAAGGGTCAGCTGTAAACATAAGGTATATACTTTTAAGATAACAGTAAGAATTTTCAAGTTTGATGGAGTCGAATCTAGACTCCATCTAGAACAGAGGAAGCCTGATTTTTATGGAGACTGCCAGGGATGTGCAGTCCAAAAACCAAAAAAGGGAGTTTTGATTACAAACTCTTCAGGAATTTTAAGCTAGCGTGGACTAATGCCCAGAGGATGGAGTTTGCAGGAGGGTCTGTCTCCCTAAAATGTATAAACCTCACATACTTAGAGAAAATTGAGTTTTCAGGGCCTCACATAACACAGTAACACTTTGCGGTTGCAGGTTCTGAGCTGCTCAAAAGATGCTTTAGAATGTGGGCAGGCCCCACCGCCTAAGCATTAGTGCAAGCACGCACCAGACACCAAAAAGTTGGGTTCACAGCCCTACAGAGAAATAAACCACAGCTTCGTGCCGCATGGGCCCTTATGTTTTGGTTTGTCCGTGCCTGTGTGCTTTTATTAAATTTATTGGGGTGACATTGGTTTGCAAAACCATACAGGTGTCAAGTGTACCCCTCATAAAACATCATCTGCACGCTGCATTGTGTGCCCATCGCCCCAAGCCAAGTCCCCATTTTCCCCGTTTTTGCCTACCGCCACCAAGCCCCGGCCTTCCCTCTGGCTATCACCACACTGTTGTCTGTGTCTGTGTGTGCGTGAACACACACATATATATTTGTACATATACACATCTACATGTATATATTTATATGTATGTACACACCTGTGTGTGTATATAGTTTTGGTTCATTCTTTCCCCTTCTTTCACCCAGTCCCCCAACCTCCATCCCCTCTGACAGCTGTCAGTCTGTCCCACGTATCCAGGCCTCTGCTTCTATGCTGTTTGTCAGTTTATTTTGCTCGTTAGATGCCACATATAAGTGTGATCGTACGGTATGGGTTCCTGTGTTTTCTTCGTAGGTGGCAGAAGAGAAAACTAGTCCCCCTAGTGTCCTGCCGCTGCAGGTGGCTTCAGATGGAGACACTCCTGCCGTCTGCATCCACTTTAAAGCACACGCTCACGAACCAGAACCAAACCTTAACCTCCTTCCCAAGGGATGGAAGCACTGCCAGGACCTGCGATGAGATGACTAACTTTTCATTTTGACCCTAAGGCCCTTCAAAAAGTTAACCCACAACCCAGCCCCCTCCATGAAGTGAAGTGGGCCCGCGCTGGTCAGCTACTTCTGCCCACTGCAGAGCGATGGACCTCTGAAAACCTCTCTAGCCTGCTAGGGAGATGTGTTTCCTTTCCCTGCCACTCCTGAAAGCCCACTGACATCTAAATCTTGCTAACATTTGCCTCTCTATCCCAGTTAGTTTTCTTCCCGGTATGGAGTTAACAAGGCCAAGCCCGATAAATGTGTGTTCTCCTCAAAGCAATTTCCACTAAAATGAAGTCCTCTTGAAAATAAAGGTACGCTAAGAGATGTGTGAAACCTTAAAGCCCAGTGGTGGTGGTGGTTTATCCCCAGTGAGGACTCAGCGTGCCTGTGAGTAATTCATTCATGGCACCCATTTGTGAGATGAGAAAGGAAACCATCCCAGTCCCCTTCCTAATTTAGAATCTTCCCTTATCTAAAGTCTATCAGAGCTGACTCCTGGGGTGAGAAGACAGGAGAGCCGAGGAGGAAAATTAACCTGAAGGGACTGCCTCCCTCCACGAGTGAATAAGCACTTGGAGTTTCCACCGTGTTAGACGGCTGGCGGCTGCAGTAGGTGAAGTGAACGCGCAGCACCAACCCGCCCCCCCCCCAGCCCCCGTAAAGGAAGCCAGAGCCTGAGCTCTCTCTTGGGGCACTTACATAAGACCCTATAAAACTTCCAGTGACATTCACAGAAAATGTAAGCTGCTATTTTGCTCCCTCAGGAGATCATTTTAATGGACTGAATGGCAAAATGCAAGGATTCGGAATTCAGCTGAAACCTGCTCAACGGAGGAGGTACATCAGCTCAGGGACGGAAAAAAAAAAAAAATCCATCCCCATTAAACAGGGTCACCAGGAGGGAAGGATTCAATGCAGGAGAGACAATCTGTTCCTTCCGAAGTGACCCACTTAAAATCAGATTGTTCCACGGGGAGCTCATAGGTTAAAAAATTTTTAAACAGGCAAGACGGGCTTTGCAGAACTGAGGTTCCTCCAAGAAAAAAATTTTGAAAAGGTAATCAGGCAATGAACAAAATAACTTAAGGAGGCACAAACTTTGGAGTCAATCACTCCAACCTTCAGAAACAGTGACATTCACAAAAACGCCTAGATCGGCACGTATTGATCACTCATAACAAGCCGCTTTGTCTCATAGGAGTGACACTGGTTGGGTTTCCTCTCTACAGAAATCGCTGCCACCCAGCCACTGTCCTATAGAGGGACTCGCAAGCCGTGGCTGCTCACCCCAAATCCGCCTCCACTCTCTGCAACAAGGAGCAAAGAAAAGTTCTTCACAGCATCACGCCAGGAAAAGGCAGGTGGGGATCGCCCAAGAGGGATCGCTCCAAACACAGCAGGTTCCCCCAAAGCACAGGTGCTGGGGTGGTGTTGGGGTAAGGGGGTGCGGACACCTCACCTCCCGCTGCTAACGGAAATTTCCTTTTTTGCTCCCAGTTAGCAGCCTGTGTGCCTAGGAGCTGGGTAGGCCCTGGGACGGGTCCTGGGGACAAGAATCCGAGTCTCGGAGACTTCCATTTCCAGCCTCTCGAGGGCTCCTGGCCCAGGAGGCAGAGGGTGTGTCCACACTCCCTCCCTCTCCACCAGAATCCCGAGCATAGGTGGTACCAGCCACAGGTTCGGAGAACTTGTCCAGCGCCGCTCTCCGAGGCGCCCCCGCGGCTGCTCTCTGGCACCCCCGGGCTCTTACCTTGGCAGTGACTGCCGCCAGGCAGAGGGAGACCGCTGAAAAGCTGGGTGACGCGGCGGCGCCGCCTAGGAGGCGCAGGGGGGTCCGGGTCGGGGTCCCAACAGGAGCTGCCCTTGTCCGAACGCCGGTGCCAAGCGCACACTTCGGGGTAGCCCCGGGCTCCAAACGCTACGGAGAGGGTCCGGGCCGCCCAAGCTAAGCACTCTTCCTTCTCTCTCTGCCGCTGGTGCCGCTGCCAGGAGCTGTTCTCTGCCTCGGAGACTCTTCCGAGCCGGGGGCGCCCCGCATGGGCAAAGGCCTGGGTCCGCCTCGGGCTGGGTCCGGGGAGAGGGCGCTGGGTTGAGACGCGGAGCGGCCGCCGGGGCCAGCTCCACCTCCCGCGCTCCCAGCCGCTTCACCCCTTCAGGGCAGGGCCTGTCCGCTCCCGGCCCGGCGAGGTGAGCGCAGCCGCGCCCCCAGCTTCGGGCGCTCGGGCTCCCGCGCGGCGGCGGGGCAGCGACAGTCCGGCCGGGCCGGGCACCGAGCGCAGCGGCGGGGGTGCTGCAGCCGGTCGCGGCGCGTCCGCCCCCCGGGCCTGCACCGCCCGCCCGCGGCTCCGCGGGGAGGAGGCGCAGAAGAGGGCCTCGCCCTGGCCTGGGGCGCGGGGCCGGGGGCGCGGGGCCGGGGGAGGCGCCCCGGGAAGGTCACCGGAGCGGAGGCGGGGCGCAGCGCGGTGGGTGCGGGGAGCCGACGAGGGCGGCCCCGCAGCCGCCAGGAGCGCTGGCCGGCCTCGGCCGCCGCCGCCTCCGAGACGCGCCTGCTTCTCCGAGCGCCCGGCGCTCGGAGCTGGGCGGCCGCTGCAACCGCCGCCGGCAGCCGGGCGCCACTAGCGGGAGCCGGCGCGCGATCCCCGCCTCCCGCTCCCGGGCTTGGCGGGGGCCGCCGTGCGGGTGCTGGCGGGGGGGTGGCGGGCGCTGGGGTCCAAGCTACGGGCTGGCCCGGCCGCCGCGTGCCCAGAGCGCCGGGCTCGCTCAGCAGCTGCAGTGACTGTGTGTCTGTGTCATGTCTGTGCAGCTGGGGGGGACCGCGAAACAGGCCGGGCTCCGAGCGGGGGCGGGGTCTGCGCGCTCCTCCGTGCCCGCCCCCACCCCGTGATGGCGCGGCTGGCCAATGGCAGGCACCGCCCCCGCCGAGGCTCCGCCCCACAGTGAGGCTCCGCCCTCCTACTGCTTCAGCTTGCTCGCACACTGGCGGAAGCAACACCCGGATCCGGGATCCCGGCCCGGCTCCGGCTGAAAGGGTGCTAGCCGGGAGCTCCCCGCCCTTCTTCCCCCTGCCCGGCCGCTCCGGGCTTGGCGAGCCTCGCAGAAAGGGGGGGAAGGGAAGCGGGGCAGGTCCGCAGCTGCCGCCGTAGAGACGCTTGCAGGCTTGTGGGCTGTGCTGCATGTCCACTCTCCCTTGTACAGAACAGCCGTCGTGGGACGTAGGAAGTTTCCCCGCCTCCACCTTCTACTCGGGTCACCGCTTTCCTGGTATGGGGCAGCCTGAGACTTCGTGGAGCCACGTTGAAGGGCTTTGACAGCGTCATTTTGTGTCTGTATTCAATCATCCGGTCCAAGTCTCCCTATTTCGGGAAAGCTGCACCTCTTTGTCCCCCTCCCAATACACAGACCCCCATGCACGCACAGCACGCCTCCTCCCCATTCAGATTTCAATTCCTCCTCTTTTTCTCTCGGCAGGAGAACCCCGCGCAAAATATCCCGTTGAATAGACTTCCAGTCTCCCCGTCCTAAAGACGAGAGTGGGGCTCGGAGAGTCCTCTTAGGCTAAGGAAGGAGTGGGTGCAATTGGCTAGGCAACGGGGGGGGGGGGGTATGAGAGTGGAGGAGGCCTGGAAAGAGGAGGCCTGGAGAGAAAACCTAGAGGAGGAGAAAGCAGAAAGGCAGTGAGAGAGAAAGAGGACGCCCAAGGAGGGACAACTCTGACCGGGAGACCAGAGCTCCGGCGCGCGATCCACCTCCCGGGTTTTTCCTCTGCTCAGTTCCAGGGTTCCTGGGGTCCCCTTTCCCCCGGGTCGCCACCTCTTCCGAGCCGGGAGGGCCGTCGGGTCTCTGCCTTGCCTCCGAGCACCTCTCTCTTAGCCCTTGGACTCAAAGGAGACCACCCTAGTTCTGGGAAGGGGCAGGAGAAGGAAGCATAAAGTGCTCGGGTGGAAGGGGAAGGGGTGCGTAAGAAAAGGATGCTACGCTCTGGCTGCCTCGCTAATCACAGCCCCCAGAGGTCAGGATGGGAGACCAAGGGCTTCCGAGGTTCGGCCCCTCACTACGCTCCGGATCTTGCTCCTGCCTAGGTAACCTGACACTAGGCCCTTAGCTGGACCCAGACAGGACCCTTCCCCAATCCCCCGCCTTCCCTCCAACTCTCTAAGCAACGACCCCCACCCCCTCCCACCACCACCACCACCGGCTGTCCCCCAGTTCTGGAACGCTGTTTACCTAATCTCAGTGGCAGACCGCGCCGAGAAGCAGACGAAAAGAAGGTAGCGGTTGCACAGCAGCGTCCCCGGCGAAGAAGTAAAAAAAAAAAAAAAAAAGGAAGAAAGAAAGAAACGTTTGCCTTGAAGCTTTGGGATAAGTTAACTGCGAAGCTGGGGTCCTGCTGTCTTATCTCTGCGGGAAAAAGGCTGACCCTGAACGTTTGCAGGGATGGAAGATCGTATCTGGTTTTGGTGCCGTTACCGTGTCGGAGAAGAACATTATATGATAAAATATTATCTAATATCCAGGAGACCATTAGAGTGTCAAAGTTTAATGCCAAGCCTTTTAGCTGGAATGCTGCTCCTCTCTTCCTCTGACGTGCAGCCCGGCTCCAGAAACGCGCTGAAAACAAGGAGATCATTTTTATTTTTTGCGGGCAGACTGCCCTTCCTTCCCACTCTCCCTCACCCCTCATCCCCCACCCGCGCTGCCCCAACCGGGTAAAGTTAAAGCAAGAATTTGAGCTTTCTTTTAATCCGTTGCTTTGCTTCGCTTCATTAAGGGTGCAAAATGCATTATTACAATACATTAGCATAGTAATAAGGGTAACGTGACTGAGGGCGGGAAAGGAAACCTGAAATTTAGGAGCAAAGAGAAATAGTGAAATAACATCAGAAACTAAAAGATACGCATGTGGGAAAGAAATACCTCCATTTTAATTGCCTAAGTGTAGTGCATCCTCTAGACTGAATTTTAGAAAGAAAACTACAGCCATAGTGGAGGAGGGAACGATATTCATTCTGGTCAGTAATGTACATTAAGACGTTTATTTCATTATTTGGGGATTTCACAAAAATTACGTGCACCAGTTAAAAAATACCTTAAGTGTGTCAAACCTTTGTTTTGTCAATTCAATGTGCAGTGATATAGTCAGTGGCATATCTAATGTACTAAATGAGCGGAATGTTCTCCAACTGAAATATTACGCAAACTGCACCCTTCTGTTAATATGTCAAGCTGCACCCAAGTGCACATTTAAAGAATTCCTTTGTCCCACCAATGCAGCGGGAGATGCATATATGAAAAACCCAAAGTAGGATGTTCTTGCCTATGAATTAGAGCCTTCTGACACAAACCTGGATATAAATGTCTTAAAAGGGATTTCAGCTGTGACATAATATAGTATGAGGAATGCAGAATAAAATATGTAAGGTGATATATCTGTTATTCCTAAAGAGCCTGAATTGCTTCTGCTAAGAACTGAGTGAAAAAAATACCAAGCCCTCCAAACCAAGTTATCTATTTATCGCCACATGGTTATTGTACCTGTCACAGGACAGATTCAGAAAGGTCCCTTTAATCAGGGTCAAGGAGACCTAATCCTAAGAAACCTGTCTTAAAATAGCCACTAGGGGGCCCTAAAGGCATCTCAAACAGGGAGCTGGAAAGTATGCTCTCACCTTGCTTTTCGGGTCTTATTTTCTGTGTAACTAATGGAACTGGAATCTAAAGACAAGTTAAAAGCATGGTGCAAAGTCTGGAGGGAAGTCAGGCTTTACGTTTTAAAAAATACCAGAGTCCCATTTTGACTCATGAATCGAGAACATGATTTCCCAATTCCTTCTCCCCTCCAAAAAAAATACAACAACAACAAAAGAATACTGCACGCACTGAGATGAAGATAGCCTTTACCATATTAAAGTCAACCCAATCATTTTTACCATTACAAGTAGAGCCCCTTCCTAAGATTTTAGGGTGGTGTTGTTTTTTTCTGAATGTTTTGAACATTCTTCAAGTGCTAGGTAGCATGATGATATGAAAAATATATAGCAACCTATACCGCAGGGCACCCACCAACCACCTTATGGGAATTCGAGCCAGCCGTAGGGCACTAGGACACCTGGTCAGCCAGGTGTTCATCCTTTAGTGCTGAGTTCTGGTTAATGGTGGTGTGAGGACAGGGTGGTTCCAGGGGATGGCAGGTGTAGCTGGACTGATGGTGGGGACAGGAGAGCTCACTGCAGGGGACACTTAGCCAGCCAGTATGAGGGACTGCAATATTTTAACAAGTAATATTATATTTGTTAAAATGCCTGAACATCAGGATTGGTCCTACGTAAACCTGCCCGACATTTTCTGTAAACGGTAATTATCGAGCAATCACATTTGCAGGGCTTCCAAATCCTTGGCAGTTGCATGGCTCTCCCACATCTTACCAATAAATAAGGTTAAGATGCCTTTTATAGGAGGGCCAAGAATCAAACGGCTCTCAGGTTACACAAATAGAAGCCTAATTATCCTACAACCAATGCTGAAGGAATGTCTGAAAAAAGATGTCCTATCCAGACACATTTCAAGTGAAGATTCAAGCGCCAGGCATGAAACATTCCTCTGTCACTCAGGCCAATAATAAAGACATTCCTGAGCAAAACAAAATGCCTCCAACAGGGCTAAGCAGGGAAGAAGCTACTTGATAGCTGAAGAATGAAAGAACATTGCAAAAGCGACCAAATTAACACTAATGGAAGTGGGCTTTGAGCATAATTTCACTAAAAACAATCTGGAATTGAGACGTAAGACAGAGTATGGGGATAAAGTCTTTCTTAGTGGAATGAAAAATAGTTTATGGAAAAAAGAGAAAAAGTTTATATTTCTATCATCATATTCAGGGAGCAGGCGACATACAGGTGTTCTCAAAATAGCATCATTAGCTTTCAGAAGATTTACTACTGAAAACCTCAGAGCCAGCTAATTAGAACAAATTTGGCTCTCGATGGACTTTCACTGACTGAGTGTCCATCAGTCAGTGAAAGTCCATCGGAGTAAAACCTTTTCAGGTAGACGGCTCTCTATGATAAAACGCTTAACTGGGGACCCAAAGGCCTCCTGGGGACAGGAAAGAAAGGTCCATGCCAAAGAGGTTAATTTAAAGGACAGAGCATGGGGTTCTGGGCCCCATGAAGAAAAAGGGACCTCAAGCTTAGTGGACTCCTGTGCCTCAAGACAATATCTATATATTCAGTACTGCTAAAGTCTTCAAAGTTTTGAAATAAAAGACGATGGCATATGCCTTTTAGTGCTTTTCAGACAGAAACCCTGTCTAAATGGCAGTCATAGTTGCATGGGTATATCAGTTCCCATTTTTTCCACCTCTCCGTGGAAGAGATCACGGAACAGGACATCTTACATGTTGATGTATATATATATATCACCTGGGAATCTTGTTAAACTGCAGGTACTGATTCAGTAGGTCTGAAGCGGGAGTGGGGCAGGGGGTGGGTAGTGAATGCGGAGGGGCTGGGATTCGGCTTTTTTAACAAGTTCCTGTC